GCTCCTTATGCTTTTGAATCGCTCTCGCGGTACTTTGATTATGAGACAAAAACTCAAACAGTGGCATTTTTGCCCCATATCTTGAATTTTAGGGACATTCTAACTACGTTCTCTAGGCTCCATCACACAGTGAGTTGTTGCCCTGCCTCATATTTGTCATCAATCAGCTGTATGAAATGCCAGATGACCCACATAGGTCTGGGGCGGGGAAAGTGCGTTAATAATTTTAAAGCGTTTTCACTGTAATTAATTATTCTAATTAACGCGTTAAATTACCAGCCCTACTTTTTACACAGTGCAAAACTTTAATTAGTAAAAAGACTGAGTACACCTTTAACTAAAGACTAACCGCCGCCATGACCCTTCTTTCCTTCCCAAAAGCGTGGCAGCTCTCAGAATCTAGAATGCTCTGAGGGGAGGCGCTTTAAGTGGAGCTGCAGCGCCCCCCTGCGCTCACACACAGGAAACACAAGATGAAAAAAGGGGGCGGCGACGTACAGTCAGCAGCAGAGAGGAAGAGAAAAAACATGGCACAGAAAAAAATTCAAATGTTCTTCCTGGAAAATCTCCGATCCCGCCACAACTTCACCACATGACATTTCCGAAAGAAAACGCGACACCCTTGCGCGCCCGCAGCCAGGCCCCAATCTCATTCAGCGCGTATCTGACATTTAATTATTTAACTATGTGAAACCCTCACTTACAGCGCGGTTTGATTTACACAACTGCGAGATTTGCATTAATTACTTATTTAAAAAAAACACGTCTATATTCCTCAAAGTATGATTGCACAACATTTAACTCCCACGGTCTCCCCGGTTCACGTTAAATATGATCTCACCCGTTTTACTGGTAAAGGGTGGGCAACTTTATCCACCACTCATATGGAAACACACACTCACTTTCTGTTTGCAACCGACACAAAATGACTGAATTTCATCAACCCGCAAGGAAATTAAAGGCGGGAATGTATCACGCTTCCGATATTAACCCACGCCGGACACGTTTCATTGCATTGCACACCTAGTGACTCATTGGCAACGCAAACGGCTATTACAATACAACAGGCATAAGATGCTCGATCCATATGTAGTGTTTACGTGGTGCATAAAGTCCAGAAAGTGTCTGTCTTTACCTGCTAATGCACGGAGGATCAAACTGGGAGGTGGCTTCTTCTTCTCGCATGTCCTCATGGTAAAAATGCAAGCTAAATAAGCAACTGCGCAGTTTCTTTCGCCTCGCGCGGTGAATGAACGGCGCAGCGCGCGATCCGTCAGCACCTTCAATATGTCATAGATGAGCACATTTGAATCGCACACTGTAAAATGTCGGCACAGATGCGTTATGAAACCACTGTAAGAGGAGATGATGTGACACAAACATCAGCGCGCAAAATTGTTCCAGAGTCTTCCCCCCAAAAAATGCACGCACGCATCTCACGACTCTGGTCTGCTATGGTGATGCGGTTTTGGCCAGGCGAGGATGTGGTGCCACGGCGCGAGTCCCTCATGTCCACACACGAGTTTGATCTGAGCAGGAGATGCGCGTTTGGAAATTGCGCAGTTTTTAATCCGCTGCAAACGCAGGCACTCCCCTCTCTCCCCGCTCTCCCGTATGTTTCCCCCTGCACTCTTTCGCTGCTTCCCCTTCTCGTCTTCTTTCTCCTCCTCCCTCGCAGTCGTTTCCCCCCTCATGCAGGTTTATTTTCGGTGAACGAGTCTCTCTTGGACCCGATCCGCCCCGCCTCCGTTTCTCCCGGACGCTCAGGACTCTTCCAAATTCCACCATCACTCACTCCATCCGAGCAGAGAGCGGGGTGTCCGTTCCCAGAGCCAGCAGGCTGCTTTGAGGGATAATGTGGGGCTGCTAGTGTTGATGGGGATGGATTGATTTTGTGTCATGTCTAGTGAATTAACCCTTCTATTGTTTTAAGATTATTTATGATATTTGTTCCGTGAACATAGACTACAAGAAACGTTTTTACACCGGAAAAAGGTCCTGTAACATTGCCAAGAGTGTCAAAAAATAGTATATATAAAAACGTTTATATATATATTTTTTTTAATAAATGGTTAATACATTTTAATAAATTGTTAAAAGTGTTTATAAAATAACTACATTATGGTCATATGGGTTTAATTTGAACCATATTGGGTGAACCTGGCTATTCATCTTAAAATAGATGATAGCTTTTAATAGAAACATTGATCAGATCGGACTCCTCATTCCATTGTTTATAAGAGTTTAACCTGAGGCTATTTTCTATCAGAAAAAGAAAAAAGAACTACTACAGCACTTTCTACATACCTGTAGTGCAACAAATTGAATGAATGGATATGCTGCCGGTGTGCAAAAATAGGGGCCAATATTGACTGCTTCTATAAAATTGGTAATTTATTTGTGAAATATGAAATTTGTCAAATTCATTATAAAATACATTAGATACTATGAAATACCAAAAGTAAAAAGGGACATTCTGTGCATTTATTAGAAATGTTACTCAAGAATGTTCAATTTATATAAAAAATAATGATTATTATTAATGCATTATTTATAAATTTATTTGTGTATAATACCGTTTGGGACCAGATTTTCTCTCTTTTTCTCATTACGGGTGTCTTTAAACCCTTTAATAATAATAATAATAATAATAATAATACACCAAATAAGTTTGGGATCAGATTTTTTTATTTGTTTGGGACCAAAAACTTCAATAAGGGTGTCTTTAAACCAATTACACTGCAGTCAAGGATGAATTAATTTTAATGTTAATATTTTTAATTGAATGTATTGTGGGTAAATGTAATTCAAAGGTCACAGATGGGCATTGTTTCTTAGGCAACAGTTGATTAGGTGTGCAGTTGAGGGCTGTGTGTGTGTGTGTGTGTGTGGGTGTTTTCAGTGTATTCCTCCTGGAATGTCTGTGGTCAGTGCTTCACTGCCATAATTGAATACACAGATGGAGGACGTTTGATGCAATACTATACAGAGAAGAGCTAACTCAATTATGTCGGTTCAAATGTGGCGAGACTCGGGACTGGTGTCCCCGAGGGACCCAAATCACTCAAAACGCAAATCAGATTGTCCACTTGTCCTCAGCTGGCACTTCCAGATCATTATTAAGTTCTCATCTGGTGTGAGAGGAGGGTTCAGACAGAAATCTGGACAGCTCGGCCCGTCCAGGTTTTACATTCACGCTTTTGCATCTCTCCACAAGCTGCCTGGGAGCAGCAAGTGTCAGATTCATGTGAGGAAATGCGGGTTACTTCTTGTGAACGACCCCTCTCACAGCCTCAATGGGTCTGAGGTGGGAACGTGGGGGTGATGAATAAACCCTGGGGACTTCATCCTCCATTTTGCGACTCAAAAGATGTCTTTCTCTCCCTTCTTCTTTTTAACTTCCATTTTTTTAAGAAAAAAAAATCTGAAGTGCTCTAAACGATTACAATGGCGCCTTGGAGGCCAATTTGAATGTGAATTAGACATGTTGCTATGAGCACCCCAACAACCAGTTAGAGGTACAGAGAGACACAGACCTGTGGCTGAATAAAGAGCTCCTTACAGTCTGAGCAAGTCTGGCTCTTTCAGAAGAGGATGGCAGAGTGAATGCAGCCTTACACGAAGGCCACCCTCGCTCTCGCTTTCTCTCTCCCCTTCCCTCAGAACTATTCTTCTGTTCCAGTTTCTCCGCTCTCTTGTTCTCTTCTTCCAAGAATTTTCCCTCAACCTTATGAGTGTCCTGAGAAGATTGCCTATGCCTATACGTCACACGTCAATCATCGAGGTCCAAGCCGACTGGAAAAGTGAAGTAATGACCACAACTGTCAAATTTGAAGGAATAATTCCTGTGGATACAGATGATTTGGTGGTAAATTTAAACTAATTGGATCACAGTTGCACAATTTTGAGAATTTTCTGAAATTATAGCACCCTCTATTACTAGAAATTAGGCATGTGAATTTAAGATTGCCCTGTAGGTCCTGTTTTTTATTGTTCAGTTCATCACAGAGTTGTCAAAGCAACAAGTCTGTAAGCACAATCCTACTGGGAAACAGGATTAGATTGTGGCTTATTCTTTCAAGAGCATCCTTCTATATCAAACAAAATAACAAATCCGTCCAACATTTTACTTATTACTACTACATAGTAAAATGTTGAAGCCTCTATAGAACAATATTTTGAACTCTATTCATCAAAGAATTCTGAAAATGTATCATGGTTTCCACAAAAATATTAAGCAGCACAACTGTTTTCAGCATCCATAACGATAAGAAATGTTTTTGAGCAGCAAATCAGCATATTAGAATGATTTCTGAAGGATTGTGTGTAACGGCTGCTGAAAAATCTAATTTGCCATCACAGGAAAAAATATTTAAAATAAATAAAATAAAACAAAAGATATAAAATCAATATATTAAAATGGATAATAGTTACCTTAAATTGCAACAATATTTCACGAATAATAGCTTTTGATCAAATAAATGCAGCTTTGGTGCTTATAAGAGACTTCTTTGAAAATGTACACACACACAAAAAAAAGTCTCCCCCAAACTTTTTAACAGTAGTGCCAATATTTTTATATTTTAAGAGTATATGATGCCAGCTAATTACATTGCACTATCATGGTTTTGAATATCACTATGTGCCCTTACTATTAAACTATTAAAATCTGTATGACCAATAAAACCTCCACGAACGTCAGATGCTGAATCAAAATCTTTTGAATCAAAATAAACGGCTTAGGTTCCTCTAAAAATTCAAATGGTAGAATATTGTCACTAAAAATGTTAATTACAAATAAATAAATAAATAAATAAAATGGCACATTCAAAAATTCAGAAAAAAACCCCCCCAACTTGTATTCCAGTTCATTTCTGAGATCTATACAAAAAGTCAATTGTAGTGCCACCTTGTGGCCGATTCTCACAAAATTTGATACTCAGCATCTTGCTGACATCCTGCAGGCATATACTGAATTTCATGACGATTGTCCCATCAAGTGAAATTATTGGTTGTTAATTTTTTATGTCTGGAAAATCTGCAACACCAATTAATGAGAATATGCTGAGCTGTTTTATTAAACATTTAAATTAATTTCATAAAACGTAACAAATGGCTAGAGTTTTCATTTCATCTCTTGTGATTTAGCACATATTAAATTCTCTTCTTAAATTAATTTTACTCAGTGTGTAAAAGGGTATAACATGTGCTTGTCCTCTTTTGTGCATTGCATAAAATTAGACATGGAGTGTTAATCAAGTGTCACTGAAAGTGTGAGTGTGTTTAGTTATCAAGGCTCATGAGCAGAGCGGTTCCTCTCTTGATCCAGTGATCATAAGGCACAGCTCCAGACTTCAGATCGACGGGCACCACGAATGAAGGCCGACCACTACCGCCGGACCGCACAGGGTAGTAGTAGCAGGGACAGGAGTACATATCTGCACACACACACACACACACACACACACACCAGAACATCAACAATTACTGAATGTACTGACATAAAGTTGACAGCTGAATTCAAAAGAGAAGATTCTGTAATACAGGGATGTATGTAAGACTGTGTACTCACTCTTGGCGACCCTCTTGCGGCTCTCCACAGGTTTGAAGTGAATGGAGGGCATGGGGCAGACTAGCTGCATGGGCTCTGCCTCTACCAGACAGGAAGCTTTCTTATCCCAGCCCGCCCCCTCCAGATACAGCCCCTGGATGAACACTCCATCCTGGAGGAGAGAGGGGGAAAACAAGAGGTCGAGTGCAAAACAAAGACACTGAGAGAGGGCACGCAGCGGCCTCCAGTGCAAGAATTTAACTGGCAAATAAATGTGTGGAAATGTTAAGTACTATTTGGCCACACTGGCGTGAGGACCAGTGACGACCAATCGAAATGTACAAACTCATAGCAAATATCATAAGTACGCAAACTCCCTATCTAAGCATGCATGGAAATTAAGTTACACACAGTAATTGCTGTTTTTTGATGGTTTCCATCTAAGTCAGCAGAGTTTAAGGGGGTGTTCACACAAAATTTGTTCTTACAATCCATCTACATTTTTTTTAATTGTCAGTCAATTCAGACATACATGGATATCTTGCCTGTTCCATCACATCTTGCTGTTTTTTTTTTCTTGTGTTATTAAGATGCTGTGTTTTAACAGTAAAAAATCTCTCTAAACCCCTGTGCTCTGTCAGATTTGGTTATTCTCTTTTTAAATGTTTCTGATCACAAAAAATGTATCCTCTAAGTTCTGATATGAAAATAAAGATATACACAGTGCTTAAATATTAATTGGGTCTGGGAGTATACAGTCAAGTAAATTCATAAATATTGATGATCCATGCTTTCATAGTAGAAAGATTCATTTGTTCACCAGATAATTAGTCTTGACCTTAATTAACAGCATATAGACACACTCTGTGCATCTCATAGAGATATATTGTTAACACTTCATAACTTCAATTAGTATCATTATGGAACACTATATAAAGTTTCATTATTAGTTTTAGACATTTAAATAGTTATTAATAAAATTTTAGTTTGATATACACTACCATTCAAAAGTTTGTGTTCAGCAAGACTTTTTAAAGAAATTAATACTTTTATTCAGCAAGAATGCATAATTGAACAAAAGTGACAGTAAATACATTTATAATGTTATAAAAATGTATATTTCAAGTAAATGCTGTTGTTTTCAACTTTCTATTTATCAGTTAATCCTAAAAAATGTATCACGTTTTTTTTTTACAGAAATATTAAACATGTGACATGATACTGAAGACTAGAGTAATTGATTCTGAAAATTCAGCTTTGCTATGACATGAATAAGTTACATATAAATAAATAAATAAATAAATATAAAATGTATTTTAAATTGTAATAATATTTCACAATAGAAAACCGTTATTTAACATTTCAATAATAGTTCACAATATTGTATTGTTATATTGCCTTGGGGAGCATAAGATAATTTTCAAAAACCCCAACCCCAAACTTTTGAATAGAATATATTTGAATGTTTATGAACTACTAACAATAGTCAACAAAATATTTAACTGTGCAACTAAAGACTAGCAAACAATTTAAAATGTTAGCATAGAACCCTGGCATGGGCTGTTTTTCTGCTTTGGAGACATGCCACATGAGTAGTGAGACAGAGAGAGAGAGAGAGAGAGAGAGAGAGAGCAAGTGAGACGCAATGAGAGAGATGCAAATGTCAGGTGCATCAGCTCCTAATGGACAGCTGATGGCAGCAGTTACTCACCTTGGGAGGAGAATGCAGATTCTTGTCATCCATAGTGCTGACAATGAACTCCCAGGATAGAGTGTCTATAGACACCTGCACAGCAAACACAACACTGATATCAGAATCACTGCCAGCAGAAAAAAATCTCTCACACACACACACACGTCTGGTTTGCTATCCTTGTGGGGACTCTCCATAGGCGTAATGCTTTTTCTACTGTACAGACTGAATATTCTATATCCCTACACCAACCCTACACCTAAACCTACCCCTTACAGGAAACTTTCTGCATTTTTAGATTTTCAAAAAACTTAATTCTGTGTGATTTATAAGCTTGTTTACCCGTGGGGACCTCAATTTAGGTCCCCACCGTGACACGAGTCCCCATTAGTCGTTGTATATTCAGGTTTAAGTCCCCACCAGAATAGAAAAACAGGTACACACACACACACACACACACACACAGAGTTACAGTACTGCCAAGATATAGCCACTTTAAGTGTATCCTCAGTTCTTACTAGCCACCTGTCGGTGTGTGGGGACATTACACATTAGGACATTTGTTTTTCAGTCCATTTGCTGCAGAATTGCCTGCCCCGAAGCGTCGCAGGTGTCTCTTGATCATCAGATGCAGCTCATTTTGCTGCTGTGCTCCTGAAGCTATTGAGCAGCTGAGCAGAGTGTGATTTTGGGGGAGTGTGTGAGAGCTCCTGTTTGCAGATCCCAAAAGGACCCAAGAATAAACATCATCACTGGGGCATTAGAAAGGTAATGGAGCAGTACTGTGCTGCGTCCCCTGCAGAATGTGCGAGTAAGTGAATGTGAATGCAAAGTGTCAGTAAATGTAATGCGGTAAAAATGTGTTACCGTGCATGTTACTCAAATGAATTATAGACCATCGGTTTGCTGTGATTGAAGTCCATATGAGAAATATAATGCTGCACTTGGGAAGTTTCCACTTGTGAGTTTGGAAATTGTAATTATGAAGTGATGTGCACTGAATTGATTTTGTTCAGAATAAAATGAACACATAGAGCAATTTCATACTTCTTTCTCTCTCTTTAAATCCCCAGGAAGATGTTTTAGAGACCGGTGCACCAAAGTGGAAGTGCAGAGGACTGACATTAGGTGTGTAATTGATGCTTTATCTGTGTATTTTATCATTCTTGTTCTTCTACAGAGAATGGTGGGAAGTATTGCTTAGACACACAAGCATGTTGCCTCGTAATCTGGCTGAATGAATTGTAGTTTGGGGCAAGATTTATTGATATTCATTATTAATAGCACACACAATGCATAGAAATCAATTGTACAGTTAACATTCACAGTTACAACTTATTACAATCAATAGGAATTTGTTTCTGCCATGATTCTGTCGTTTTTGTTCACAGGGATAGTTCGCCCAAAAAATAAGTATCTTCTTTAAAGTACAAAAGAAATTTTTTTCAAAATAATGCATTGTTCTTTTGACCATACAGTGAAAGTCAGTGGGGTTGAGTGTTTTCTGGACCCTACTGACTTTGATTACATGGATTCTGAATCTAGTTAAGATAGTTACATAATTACTTTAGGTATAGTTACCTATAGTTATACTACCATTCAAAAGTTTGGGGTCAGTAAGATATTGTTAACGTTTTTAAAATAAATTGCTTATGCTCACCAAGGCTGCATTTGTTTGATCAAAAATACAGTAAAACTGTAATATTTTGAACTACTATTATAATTACTGTTTTCTATTTGAATATAACTAGAAAATTTTAATAACTTTTGTGATGACAAAACTGAATTTTTTGCAGAATTTACGCCAGTCTTCAGTGTCACATGATGCTTCAGAAATCATTCTAATATGCTGATTTGCTGCTCAAGAAATTTTTTTTATCATTATCAATGTTGAAAACAGTTAAGCTGCTTAATATTTTTTGTGGAAACCATGACACATTTCTTTCAGTATTTTTTATTTATTTGAAATAGGAATATTTTGTAACAATGTAAAAGTCTTTACTGTGTCTTTTGATCAATGTATTGTCTTTGTATTGACACCAAACTTTTGAACAGTAGTGTATCTTTGACTGAGCTCTCTAGTGTGTGTGACTGACTGAGTTAAGTATAAGAGGACACTAAAGAGTCTTCACCACATGTGTTTGATGTCCTGAGAGTGTGCTAAGACTTTAAGTATGTGTGAATATGTATGAGTCTCATGATGTGTTGCTGGCTTTGTGTGTGCGAGTCTCACGTTGTTCTGGCGTGCAGAGCTCTGTAGTACAGCGGTGAGGAAGCCCGTAGGGAAGGTAAATCCAGACAGCCAGAAGAGGACAGGAGGGCGAGCAGTTTCCGCCCAGCGAGCAAACTGCTCCACGCGCTGGCACAGGTCCCTTGTCCAAGACGCCAAGGGCTTCAGAGATGGGTATGCCTAAGGATGGAGAGCATCTCATTACTGATGCGTGTCTTTTTTAGTGGTGTAATTAAAATGATCTTACTGTTCTGCAACAGTACTTGCTCTCAGCTGGAACTTGACACTAGATGAATGAAATCTGGTCAAGGGCATAACATCAACTTCAAACGGCACAAAATAGCTTAGTGACATCTATCTCCGCTTACAGCAAGGCCTTTCATTGAGTATTGTGTAACTCCGAGTTCAGCTGGTTTATGAGAACTGCCGCTCAAGGCCATTGAGAGGATAAAAAGGAAGAGTTTCTGTGGGTTTGGATGAGATGCATTACTGTCTGTCATGAAGAATATCTTGATTGAACCGCAGGGTATAATATTACGTCTGGACTCAAAAGAGTTTTAAACAAATCTTACATAACCAGTTCAAATTGAGCAATTAAACGAACATAAATCTGACGGTGCAGAACAGTATGGTGCAATGTTTTCTGGAATTCTTGAGACTGAAGTAATTATTCACCCTTCAATGTTATTTTTGGTGTTCAAAGAACAAAGATATTTGGATTTGATAAAAAAAAGAAAAAAGAAAAATCAAACGTGAGTGTGGCTTGTGCCAAAGGAATTAGCATCTCAAACGCTGCAACTGCCACACAACACTAGGAAAATACTCATGATTAGTTTCATTTCACGCTGCGCCATAAAAAACCTTTATGCATTTAGGTTCTCGCTGGCATGAAAATGAGAACGTTTTGAGATATTTCTAGGCAGAATAAATGCTGTCGCTTTTACCCTTTGAAACTGGGACAACATGGAGTGATATAAATGAGGATAAAAGGTTTTGATGGAGTATATGCTGATGTTTTAATCTGATCTAGTACTCCAGAGCAGTAGTTCCCAAACTTTCCCACCACCCATGCAACAAACTGAAGCTGTGCATGAAAACAGGGTGCCCTAAATAATCAACCAAACCTTCACTCTGACAAATTAATCACAATCATGGGAACAAGTGTATGATGTCCATTGTTGATTTTCTTAACTAGGCAGTTTAAAGACAAATCTGGTCAAACAGCAACATTTCAGCACCACTGAACAATGATTGACAATGAAAAAAATTGGGAGGAAAAATCAATCACATAGCATGTTATTAGAAACGACAAAACCAATTAACTGGCCTGCAGAGATCAGCTAGCGTTAAGGGCACATACATTAATGAATTGCACATAAATTAATTAGCTTTTATTAACATAACCTTGTGCTTTCAGCACAGGTGATTACATTTCTGAACTTTTGAACATACACAAGATTAACTGAAAGTTAACTGAAATAATATGAGTTTAAAAGGGAGTAGTAAAATTACTAAAATTAAAACTAGAATACACAAATTAAAGCTAAATGGAAATATTAAAAAAGTAATAAAAATATCCAAAGAAAATAAAATTAATAAGCCTAAACTAAAATGAAAATGAAAACGGAAAATACAAAAATAAAAGCTTATTAAAAATTTTAATTACTAAAAGTATGCAAATAGCACAAAAATTACACTTACTGGCACCTATGGACTTAAATTGTGCATCAAAGTAATGGACTTCATGCTCTCCTAATTTGTTTTTAGTAAGGAAAATTATACTTTTGATAATTATGAAAATAAGCAGGGGCACTTGAACAAAAGTGTTTTTAAAACTCTAATTTAGTTCTGTCAGTAATGCTTGTAATGTCAAATTTTTTTAATCAATAAGCTAACATGAATGACATTAAAGAAATTTTCCACCATTACTTCTGTTTTCTTCGGTGCATCACAGGTATGGAAGCCTGGGGCTAACTGACATAAAGACACATTGTGAGACATAAAATCTCAATTGTGAAATATAAAATCATTATTCTGAGATATAAAGCCACCATTATGAGAGACAAAATTGCAGGAAACAAAGTCACAATTAGGCTATAATTAATTTATTTTTACTCAAAAATGGCCTTCCACAGATTGGAAACCACTGATCCCAGGTCAGTGAAAAAAGAACACCAGATTCAATAAATGGTGTGAGTGTTATCTTTTAATAGCCTTTGAGGTCACAACGGGTTATGTCAATGTAACGTATGAGGCCTGACACCTCCACCACTCACAAACCAGCAGTTATAAAGAGCATGAAAGAAAGGAAGATGGGAGAAAAAAGAAATGATGAGTGAAGAACAGCAGAGAGAGTCAGCGGCAAATGAAAGTCATATCTCTGCAAAGATACAACGAGTCACTGCCAGAATAAAACACTGGACAGAGACAGAGGAACTGTGCATTCAGTGTTAAAGATAGGCTGATGGGTGGAAAGAGAAAGAAAGAGAAAAAGAGAAAGACAGTAATGAGGCACCGCAGACAGCAAAAGGACAGTCCCAGCTGGAGAGAAAGTCTTAATGGATGCTCTCCACTTATTTTGTTAAAGAGGCGCAGAAAGATGGAAAACGAGGCAGAATAGAGGGATGGATGGATTGGCATTTGGATTAGTATACAGGCCATACGCTTACCAAAGATCTTCAAGTAAACATGGTTTTGTTTATTATTAAATGAGTCCAGTTATCCTTAGACATGAACCAAGAAGCCCCCCCCCACACACACACACACAAATCTACATCAGAGCAATACAAGGTCTAACATCTACTCTTGTTGACCTAAACACACACACAAGGGCATTAGAAAGGCCTGTGCATTCTTGACATGATTCGGGCAGCTCTCAGTCTATAACAAACACTAAGAGTGTTTAAACCCAAGATGAGTGTGTTTAATCCTCTAAATCTTGCTCTGTTCACCTCATCCTTCACAGAGCAATCCTCTCAACCATTCATTCATACACTCTTGTTGCTCTCCGCTGAACACACACCTCTGACCTCACAGCCCACTTTCACACACTCACGCAGGGCTGTATTACAACTACAACATGACCTGGTGTTTGTGATTCACAAAGTTATAAGCACTCTTCCAAAACCTAGTGAGATACTTACCTAGATAGCATTTCAGAGGAAGCAGAGGGAGCTCTAAGATAACTTGTTTTGGCCAAATTGTAATTATTGCATGTATTCTGTGCAGAGAAGGCAATCCCAGATATACAGTATGTACACTTCCATTCAAAAGTTTGGGCTTGGTAAGAAATTAATATTTTTATTAATCAATAAAGCATTAAATTAAACTTCTTATTCTTCAAGGAATCCTAAAAGAAAGTACCACAGTTTTTACAAATGTTTCTTGAGCACCAAATGAACATATTAGAATGATTTGTGAAGGATCATGTGACACGGAATGGCTGCTGAAATACAGCTTTGTCATCAAGTAATAAACTACATTTTAAAATATGAACAAATACACACTTAAGCACTTATTTCAAATTGCAATATTTCATAGCATAATCATTTTTTTTGTATGTTTGATCAAATAAATGCAGCCTTGGTGAGCATAAGAGACTCAAAACTTTTGAATGGTAGTTTATAGATGTCCTCTCTTACCTTTTCCCAGAGAGGAGGTACACGAGCATCATGGATATTGTGAAATATCTCCTCTAGACTGCTGGACATCACAACCAGACCTTTAATGCCCTTCTCTAGCTCTAAGAGAGACAATCTACACACACAAATATAGCACGGTTAGCATGTTAATATTCATAATCACATATGACTGTTACGCTCTCACACACAGACCTGATGGTGTGCAGCAGTGCGTTGTATCTTTGGATCTCCTGCAGCAGTACTACATTTAGAGGTGAAAGGTCATCCTTTAGCAACTTTCTAGTACCCTCATAGTCAATCTCAGCAGGAATCTTTTGCAGAACATCAGCAGAAAGTTCCAACACCTAAACACACAGAGTTATACACATTCAATTCTAAGTGTCACATATGCTGAAAGATCTTTAAAAATGCCATCAGAACAGTAAATTCAATCTATTTTTATACACACCTTATCTTCCCTGCTGGCTCCAGTGCTGGTGGCGTCGGTGCTGGTGACTTGTGGCTGCAGAGACAGTAGTGTGTGGAAGAGGGTTCGAGCCTCTGTGATCTGGCTGGCGATGTCAGCATTGGGGTGTTGTCCAAATAGTTCTGGGTGCTCCAGTGCTGGCAACTGACCAATGAAGTCCAAATATGAGGACTGAGGCCCATCACGAGGAACATAGTAATGCACCAACGAGGAGACCCTATACATGCAAACAAACAGCTTTTAAAGGATTATAAAACCTAATTAAAACTGAAATAAAATAAGTTTAAGTTGAATCACTAAAATGACTAAAACCGAAATTTAAAAAAGCTAAATAAAGATTGTAGATTATAAAAAAATAAAAAAACTAATAAAAATGACAAAAAATTAAAACAATATTATAATAAAAACTATAGCAGTATATAATAAAACACTGATTATGAATGTCATACTTTTTTAATCATGTAGTTACATGGCAGTATTTAAAAAAAGAATTTGATTTAAACCGTTAAATAGTTTAATGTGCTAAAAAGTCATTAAAGCTTGTAAATATGCACAGTAATATACAGTATATTACTGTGTTATTTGGTTGCATTGGATTTGCTGTGAATATTGTAGGTGCCAAAAGAAAAATCAGCAAAAAAACGCTATACTTCTGCGCCAGACTTGGCGTGAACAATCCTTGTATTGGCTCATAAAAATGTAAAGCTGTAGGGCAATTTCATACACATTCTCAAAATAACACTTTCTTTAGTTTTCATCTACAGGTCATATCAAATAACTGATAGTAGCTAAACTGTTTGTCAGTAAAACTTCACAGATACTGTAATTACTGCCAATTCCTACTTCCCCCTCCAAGTCCAGTAATCCATGCTACTGTATTTCATTTTTATTACTGCCTAAAACTTTAGAGCCGCCTCTGCTGTGCACTCAAGTCACCATGGAGGCACTGATTGAGGGTAATTATAGGATGTGGTTGCTATAGTAACAGATGTTCCATCCATGTATGCAGTATTGCTGGGTCCTGAAAGACCAGGGGACTCGGAGGAAATGGAACACATTTAACTCAGACGCTATGAGATTCATCTTTCGGCCCCATGGGGGAGCTGTTGGTCTTCGTTAGATCAGAACTGTGGCGGCAGACTTACCGGCTCAAGAGGACACACAGGAATCCTCACAGCAGGGTAAAGAGGAGTGAGTGTCAGGGATCAAAGTGTGTGTGTGTGTGTGATGGCTTGACATATACTCAATGCAAAGTTTGTGTGTGAGCGAGTAATGAGAAGATCTATTCGTGAGAGTGAGAGATTTTCTTGCTCTTTTTCAACCAGGCAAACATTCTCGCCATATGGGGACGCTCTATCTCTTCATAATGTTCAAAAACTGGGACTAAGAGTGACGATCATACAAACACTAAAGACTCCATACAGTGTTTAGACCGAACAGAGAGTGCATTAGAGATTCTGTGCGTGTGGTTGGGTTTACTAGACTGTAGTTTGGGGACAAATTTGTCTCCAGAAGTGAGGCAAATCTGCCAAAACTTTACTTTAGGGATATTAATAAATTAAATTACTCATGTTTTTAATATAAAAATGGAAAAAGTTTTCTATAAGATGTAAGGTTAGGGTTTGATTTAATTACATTTTTTTAAGCATGGATGTTCCCATTTAACTTCATAAAAATGTTTGTGTGTGTGTGAACTCACTTAAAGAAGGGCGTATCAATAACAGCAGGACAGAAATATTGGTTGATGTAGGTGGTAAGTAAACGTCGGTCCCAGTCGTCAGTCACATGTCCTCCATAGTTGATCCCAGCGATGAGAAACTTGAGAGCGTCCCAGGGGATTTCCTCATACTCATCCAAATAAAGACTCAGAAGATTCTCACTCACCTGAAATACAAAGAGAGAGGAATAATTACCAAACAGTCAGTCTTCACAAACCCATACAGTTGTCAGAGATGCATATGAGTTCACAGATTTATTTATGGTATATTTTTAAAACATGTTTTTTCAATAACAATTTCATAGCCATAGGCAATACCTATTAAATATGCAGCTTATCTTGAGCTTAAAATATTATGCGAAATTTAGGCTACAGCATCACCAGGATGCAAAGGTGAACACAGTTTCATTGAGGGTATGTGCGAGGATAAGATGCATGCTTTCAACTATAATAACTTTGACAAGCTGCCAAAGTCCTAATAATTTTGCAGCCTACAAAAATGAGTAGTGGACCAAATAAAATAAGGCCTTAACAGCTGTCTCAGATATGTGATCGGCTACAGACAAAAAGAAGGAAAACCAGTTTTTCTCCTAAATCAATGTGACTATACAAGAAGAAGTAGAAGAATTTTTACATTTACTATTAAATTATAAAAAAATAATTTTACTATTATTTTTCTTAAAAAAACGTGTGAAATTTAGTGATTTTGAGGATTATTGTTTATATTTTGAATGTGTACATTTAATAGCTTTCCCTATACATTAAATATATTTTGGGTACATGTTTATTTATATTTATTTTTATATGTATATATTTATTATATGATTGAAGTATACAACATGTTATTTTTTCTTGATTGATTGATTTAGTAGTAGTATGGGAAAGATCTTTAAATGAGACCAGGGGTCTAATCTACAAGTAGACACTGATGATGGTATGATATTGAAAAAGTTTTGTCTTTGCACTGTGCAATTTTTTTTGCACTTTTTGCATTTTTGTATTTTTATGGCCTGAATAAAGACTTTTGAAGATTTTTTTTTCTTTTGTGTGCAGGATTTCATGCTTTTTTATTACTATTGTATTGTAAAATAAAAACAAAAGCATATTTAATATTAATAATCATAACAAGTGAAAATACTATAATTTGGGAAAAGGGTATAGCATGTTGCAATTTCAAATGCAAGAATAAGCGAGCCCTGTGGAGTTTGTGTGGAAGCTATGAAATAAATGCACTAATAAATGCATGAAATAAATGTACTTTAAATGTACATGAAATTGATTTTTTTTACTTAAATTTAAGCAATTCACATTGGTCATACTTTGGAAAACACAGAAATCCACATAACCATTGAAAATTCACATCCTTGTCTCTCTTTCTCTACCTCAAAGTCAGAGTCGTTGAAGCTGTAGACAATGTTCCAGCCGAGCTGTAGGAACTTCCTTCTCTCCAGGATGATGCTGTGGAAGAAGCAGAGAGTGAAGAGCATCTTGTGGTACAGCAGCGGCCGCGAGCAGCGCGAGAACTGAGACTCAGACACCCGCTGATAGAGACGCTTCATATTCCACTTCACCCCCTACAGAGACACGATCACACACACACACACACACACACACACCAAGACCACTTTAATTACAGCACACACCATTTTAAATAGATCTCACGATACTGTGCAAAGTGTGTATATGTGTACCCTAGGAGGCTCAGTAGTGATTTTGATGCCCGTCTGCAGGATGGCAATGGGGAATTCTGGGTGAGGGGAGGAGCTTAGCCACAGTCGGAAATCTGGATGACATTCTTGGATTTGTAACTCATCTACTAGTTTATCCAGCTCACACATCCAAGAGAGAGACAGGTGACAATTAGCCAAGAACACCCAATGACCTGCCAAAGAGAATGAGAGTTTGATTAGTAGATTTAGTAAAAGTATATTAGATTTGAAATTTTCTGAAGAAAATGTGAGTTGTGTTTGCCGATATTATTATTATTTTTATTTTTAATGAAATTGCTAAGCTGCTTTTAAAACATGTTTTAACATGTTGCTATGAAGCTGCTAGGTCCTTGCTTATTAGCTAAAGACAAAATTCCCAAGTCTCTATGCTATTCATTCACTCTGATAGTCACTAAATATGGATCACCCCTAGTATTTTGTGACATCACAACCATGAGCACATTTACATATGACCACCACAAAATATCTATTCATTATTCAGCAACCTTGTGAAGCACTGCTGTTCATTGCATGTGTGAAGAGGCTAGTCAGTCCTAGATGTCATTTAGAGACTAGAGACTACAGAGGCTACAGCTAAAGCTACTAAAGCTACCGTAGCAACATTCCCAAACTCACATAGCAGGGCATGGCGCTAGCAATGCCAAGGACATGGGTTCCCAGCGAATGCAAGAACTAATAACATCTATAAGTTGAATGCAATGTAAGTCGCTTTGGATAAAAGCATCTGCCAAATGCATAAATATAAATGTAAGCAACAAATGGTTTAATTCTCAGGGTCACAGAAAGCATGAAAAAAACTCCTGTAAAAGTAAAATAAACTGCTTTTTGTGCAAAAAGTGGAATGTATACAGTATACTACCATTAAAAAGTTTGGGGTTGGTCAGATTTTTTTTTTTTTTTGAAAGAAATCTCTTATGCTCATGAAGAATGCATTTATTTGATCAAAAATACAGTAATAAGTGATGAGTATTTTACTCATACTGAATGTAGGCTCTGAGATGCACTAGTCCTCAACAGTGGAAAAACAAGAAAGTTCATTTGTGAGGAGAGCAATCACGTTTATTTTCTAAAACCAAAATGAAACTGAACACCATAATACTGCAATAAATCAAGGTCGACACATCATCCTCTTAAACGTCTACAAACACTCAAGTCTCATTTAAGCTCAAGCACTCAGAAGTGCATAAGTAAACCAATATCCTTCAAAAAAATCTCTTCTATGTCCCCATCTCATATATGAAACACCTGCAATTCAGCAACTAGCTGCTAATGCACTTGCATTCACGGAAAGCAGCCTTGTTGACAAGTTTTGGGTGACTAAGACCCACAAGACCTTCAGTGCCCTAGATGGCGATATCACTTATTTTGTAGCAGAAATATACTGCTGCAGAAAAAGTTAGGTGCCATGCAAAATGTAATGTGCAACAGTATTACTCATCAGAAACGTAGTAAAGTAAAGAGTACATATACTTATTCAAAAATGTAGTCAAGTAGAGAGTAAAATTTGCTAATGTCTTTGATTAAAGGCACAATATGTAATTTTTTGCCACTGGAGGGCGCGTATTCAAAACAAACAAAGAAACAAAGGCGTAGTTAGAATGTGGAATCATGGGAGTTGTTGTCTTCATCTCCACAGCCGAAGCAATCCGATGGGACTCGGGCAGAAATCATGTTCATGGATGAGCTAATGTATTAAAGATTTATTAACGT